ATGTATGTTATCACCATCCAGTTAATAACGCATTTACATTTTTATTGTGATTTGCATGACTGTAAAATAGCCTCTCTCAGTGTGAGGACTCTCTAGATTAAAAATATTCTCATTTTTTTTATGAAGAGCGATGCAAAGCAAGCAATGGAGAGCAGCGTGAGTCTGTTTCCACGAATGATGATAGTTTAGATGAGCTGGAAGGTTTGTAAGTCATTTTCACGCCCTGGTCAATAATTATGTGACTTTATGTTGCTCTTTAACATCTGTCTGTGCTGCTGCTTTTGTTGGTCGCATTTCTCTTTTCACCTGGTCATTTGATGATCCCTACATAACTGAATGAAGATTTATTGGTACTCTATCTGCCAAAATGTAGTTTTTCACTTATCTGGACTGCTAAAAGTGGGATTTTGATTTTGCAGTAATGATTATTTTATCCTTCAAATATTAAGAATATGATCTCCCGTTAGTATGTCTTTACTCACCTTCATTGGTGGTCACTCCCAAATTGATGTATAATGTAATATTGGTTTTACAGATTCGACAACAACTACAACATGAGCCTCACTGACTGTGAGGACAAGTTCTTGTGGAGATGATATCTTATTNTGCTGAGTGCTTTTAGGCTGAAGCCTTTCTTTTGGAGAATTGGAGAAGTTTGAGATTTTTTCGACTCTTCAATCAGGTTCTTGTTGAGATGATATCTTATTAATTTAACAATAATAGTTGAGTATTTTCTGTCATCCAATTATGTCTATTTTTTCCAGAATAGTGCATCGATCGATTAGATTATGTTCTGTTCTTTATTTATTTTGCATGTTCTTCTATGTACAATTGCACTTTAGAAACTAATACTACAGAATGCTAGACTAATACTTTTTAAAGTAGAATCAATTATTTAAATTGTATACAATTTACAAGTTCATATGTTGTTAGAAGTGGATGTTACATTAGACTAAATTGCTCGTCTTCACTATTTATGTTGTAGAGATGCTATAATTACTTGGGTAAACAAGAAGACAATCCCTGCTTTGTATAACATCACAACGACAGAGGAGGTGATTGGTAGTGCAATAGCTATCAAGATTTTGAGCCATGGGTTATTGCCTCTGTGGGCTGGTGTCATCATCACTGCTCGACTGGTAAAATTAAAATCTTGAACAACATTTTGTCTTTACTTTTATTCTTGTTTTATTTAACTTATTTTTTTTTCTGCTTAACTCACCGGTTTTTTAAATATATTTGCAACTATTACATCTTCAATTTATTATATTTTATCTTCTTGTCTAATGACCCCAACATTCTGGTAAGTGAAATACTAATTTGCTCAAATAAGATGCAAAACTGAATTTATTTCAATTCGAATCTTCTACTGTAACTGTATAAAATTCAAGGACCCATTCAGTTTGGGATATAAATTATAATTCTACCTCTGTTTTAATAATCTGTTTATGTGGCATATTAGGATGAATATCATTCAAAATTCAAATGGGACACTACAGTATCTCTTCTGATGCCTTATCACAAAAATCAGGTATACTTTCATAGCACAAATATTGCTGAATTTTAGTTTAACCTTAAAGTTTGCAGTTAAATTCATCATAAAAAATTTTCATTATTTGTTAGTATATTGAAGAGTTCCAATTCTAGATTGCTGTGGTGGATCTAAATGAAGAAACAAGCATACGATTATTTGAACATAAATGAAGAAACAAGCATACGATTATTTGAACAGCTGCAGCCATTGCCCTGCCTTCAACAGGTTTGACAACAAACTTATTACCCAATAACTATTTTTTGATGAATAATTTCTTTCCATTCATATATTAATATATTTGAGTAAAAGTTCGCCTCCAATCACATCCCAAACCAAAAGCCTTCAAATCCTCTACAGCCAGAGGCGGGAAAAAGGTCAACCAGTGGTGTGGATCTTTGAACTTCTCAATCTCGTCATCAGACAAACCATAACTCTGCATAATCTCCCATTGGTACTTGATGCCACCAGATTTGGCAACAACCTTCGATTTCTTACCCTTAAACTTACCACCAGGTTGAGTCTGATTCCCAGCACTCTCGCCCTCTGGCTTCTCTTCTTGCTCAGAACCTTCCTCTTTTACAACAGGAAACTCAGGTGGGTATCCAAACATCTCAATCTCCCTCTTAAGCTTATCGGCTGAGGCCTTAATGGGCATCCCAGTACAATGAAAAGCAAAAGGCAAGAGCACATTTGCACCCCTCAATCTATGATATGCTACAGCAAATTCAAGTTTCGAGCATGGCCCAAGTGCAGATAACCATTCATATAGGGAAACGGAAAGTTCCCAAAGAACTTATCCCCTGGTTTGGGCGGCAAGTCCTTGGCTTCAGCCTTGAAAACATTACCCTCTTCCCACCACTTCTGGACTTGTGACTTAATTTCCAAAAGACGATCCGTGCATGCAAAGCTTTTCCCGCTTTCTTCTGCCATTTCGTTACAAGCAAGGCCATAGAAACTATACAAAAAAGAACAAACAATACCAATCACAATATTAGATACCAATTTTTTGTTTTACCCTCTTCCCACCACTTCTGGA